AAAAAAGATTACAAAGACTTATGATATAGCCTATCTCGCCGTCGTCGTATCTCGCACGATGGCTAGTTTGTCCTCCACAGTCAAGCCCCCATGTCTAGCCATCAAAGGAACGATTACAGTCATCGGCTTTAAGTTCTGCTCGAGCTGTCCCTGTGTCAGACATGAATGATCGGGGTCGTACACATTTATTGTTGAATCAGGGAACACGATCTCCAGTGCAATACAATGCTGATTCACGATCACTGGAATGTACAAATGCGTACAACCCTCGCATGGCTTTCCCCTAACACTCGATGACAGCCCGATGATTTACTCGATCATATACGCGGGAAGCACGTACTCGTTACCTAGAAACTGGAGCGACTGATACTCAATGGTAACGGTATGGAAGAACTCGGTGTTCAGTATTATGCAGTCAGGCTTGTGGAATGATTGTGAATATCTCTCAATTCGATCGCTCAACAAGTACATGACCATGTCGATGTGCTATATCAAGGAAAACAAAGACATAAATACTTATTTCATTTACCAAATTAAACATAATGTAAACAGAAAGTAACAATAACACTTCACTTACATCGTCGGTGAGCCAAGCCCCCTGAGTGATAGGATATCATGAAACCAGTTGTATGCATCCAATATCGTCCTTTGGGCTATCACGTGAGTGGCTCTGGAAATAAAATAGAAAAAATGTTAAACGAAGCATATACGAGTTCTGGTAGTCTACTAAATCATACATTACTTACATGGGCAAAATTTTTCGCCACTTAGCTTCGAATGCCTTCCACTTGACATGGTCGACCTGCCGGAATAGATTAGGGTATGCCCCGTCGATGAACCTCCTCTTCTTCACCTTCACCGTGAAGGGAGAGATGACGTACTGTGACGACACTCTCGGCCTCTTGCCGACCACCGTCTTCGGCATGTTAAACAGCATGCTTTTTTGCCTTATACACTGCTACTTCCTCCACCCCAGGGCTCGCCACCTCCTCCATCCCCTCATCTACCACCATCTCCGTTCCCCACGGGGCCACTTCCTCATCTGCACACTGTCCCCGACGGGGCCACTCCCTCATCTGTCACCGTCTCCCTCCCCGACGAGCCCCCTCCTCTACCACTGCTCCCGTCCCATCGCGCTCTACGAATAAAATAAATAATTCTCATGCATCATCATCATGCATGTATGACTACCGGAGACCCCCATCTCTATCTCCATTTCGATCACCCCCTCGACACCGTCTCCGTCAACCCATTGCCTACCGGCTATATCACCTCGAAGTGCTGCAATCTCATCCTCAAGGTCCGCACAATGGCCACGCAGCACTCTAACATCATTCGACAAATCTTCGACCCTTCCTACCAACTGTCGTCCCAGATCATCAACCCTCTCTATCATCTCTCGATGCAGCCCGTCGACCTACTCTATTATAAATCTGCTCAGACGGGTATACGAATCATCAAAATAGTGCCCCTGACTATATGTGGGAGATCTACGGGAAATATCTCTAAACGAGGGAGGCGAAGGAGATGCCCTCGGAGATGCCATCGGCGGAGGTGGTGATGCCCTCGATGGAGGTGATCGTCAATCAACTGGATCACGCTCCTACACAAGCAACAACATTACAAATTATTAACTTAATTCGTAATTGCTAACTTATACAAAATGGTAATCAATAGATTTTATTCAATTCCCTCGCCCAATCTCAGTCGTGGATCGGATCGGACATCTGGTCGTCTCGAGTGTACGAAACGCCTAATTCACGCATAAGACCCTGAGCCTCCTCCTCCATCGACGGCGTCAACTTAGTAGTTATGACTTCAGACTGACATATTGACATTTGAACTAGTTAACGATCATGGAATCAGATGTTAAATCACGTACAATATAAATTACAAATGCATAATACTCACATGAGGGTCGTCGAGGATAGACGATAATTGTTTTCCAGTGGGACATCCCTCCGATCGAGATGCTTTCCAATGGTGCATCCGAGGGTAGCGTCTCTCTTCTCACCTCGCAAAGCGGGCACCCAATATGGGAACAGTCTCATACGCCTAGATCTACAATACATACAATTATCATATATAAATTCAATATGAAAATAATTTTAACATTTATTATGTTAACCATTTACCTGTACCACCAGGGACAATCCATAGGTGTTGTACTTATGCATGGCTTCCTTCGGCTTCGAGTGCGATCTGGTGAAGACGTGTATGGTGTCCTCAAAACATCTTCAGCCCCCCGGATAGTCGTTGAAATGATTGATGTCGTCAACGATCTCCAGATGGAAGAGGTCGATCGCAGTTTTCTTGTGGTGACACCATACCACGCTCTCAAGGATGTAGATCGGACTTAACTTTAGTCTGTTTAATATCTGATCACACTTCCTGATTGTGTCCAACAGTTGTGTAAGAAGCACAGTTCCCTGTCCCTCTAAGTAAGCGTCATGAAGCCTACTTCTTCTTTGAGTCCCATCACCAGCTGCTTCATCGCCCATAATCTTTAATCCCGTGATCAGACCAAACTTGAACATCGAAAAACTGGCGACTTTACCCCCGACTGTGAAGTGGAGGGTATCGTCGTCGACTGGACTCAGCAATCGACATAGAAGTGCATCAATAATCTGACCCGAGTACTATAGATCTCTCAACAGGTGCAAGGGCCACAGGAAGGACTGGCGCAGCATATCAGCATGCTGATCGTCTAATAGCTCTAACACAGCAGTGAAACTATCAAAGTTACTATTCCACGTAGCTTTGCCTGACATCTGTCTCAACTCTAAGTTAAGATGATAATCCATCCTGTAAAAATTCAAAATGTTATAATATTGTACAAGTGATAATAGAATAAAGCATAATAAAAGAAAATTTAGCGAACGGAATTGTAACTATAATACGCAAGACACAAATTCATAATAATTAAAATCATCAATAATGTAAAATTTTTTTATCATATTATCAATAATGTCAATTTTTCCCAATTATCAATATTTTTTTAATCAATTCAAGTTCAAAAAATATTTAAATTCGATGAACGAAAATAATATCACTTATCAAAAACTAATAATAAAAATAAATAAATATTAAATTTCAAATTAAATTTCTAACAATTATTTCAAATTACAATTAAAAAATTAATTAAATTTGATCAACGAAAAGAATATAATCCAAAACTATTAATAAAATTAAAAGTAAATAATTTATTTAAATTCGACGACTAAATAAATTATTATTCTATCAAAAACTAATAATAAATATAAATATAAAATTTAAGTTCACAATTAAAATAATTATTTCAATTCGATGAACGAAAAAATTATTATTTATAAAAAATGAGGAAATAAAAATAAGTATTAAAACAAAAATTAAATGTATAAATTTTATTTAAATTTAGTCGTACAAATTTTATTTAAATTCGACGACTAAATAATTTATTAAAAACTAATCGTAAAATTATTTAAAATTAAATTATATGTAAAAAAAAATTGGACTGAAAAATTAAGAAAAAGAGGAGTGGATCGGTAGTCGGGCTGACAATCGACCCACTAAGTTGGGCAAGGTTAACAGTAGATATGGGCCAATTGTTAAACAGTCGGCCCATACGGGCTGGGTTAACGTCGGCCCATATGGACTATTAACCCAGCACATACCGACTGTTAACTAGACTGTTAACAATTCGGTTTTAGCAAAAAAAAGCCGGTTGCACCAGCATTCGACATTCTTACCCTTTTCTCGTTAGAAAATCACCTTTTACGACGAGAAAAGCTTCCAAATTTAAAAAAACTAACCATTAAAACACTATATAAACCCTATTTTACTTATATAAACAATAATATATTGAAAAAATCTATCACAAAAGAATCATTCACACCTTTTACCAAAATCTAAATATTAATCCAACCAAATATTCAATATAATAACGGTTATCTTAACAAGAAGTAGTTCGCGGGCGATGGACTATCAAGTTCTCCGACGGACTGGAAATCGACCGTTTTGTGTGACTGTTGAGCAAATGGAAAGAGGATTGCCGAAGGGTATTTTGAGATTTTAAGCTTTAAATTCAATTTTTGTTTTTGTTTTTTTTTTTCAATTAAAAAGACTTTCAAAGGTCACTTTGGAAATGAGGATGGGTTACCCGGTCATTTCCAATAATTTCCTCCCCAACTCCACCCACCGCCAAACCGAAACCCATGCTGGATTTATGAGCTTGGAAGAATTAAGTTGCATCATCACGGCCTTAAGAATCGAGGGGGAGGGAATGGGGGTAAAATTAGGATTCAGAACAATAATGGATGTAAAAGCATCAATTCTCTTACACACACATAGAAGTATGAAGATTGAAATCAATGGGACCCATATATTACTATGGTTTTCTTTACAATTTTCTCAAGGGCTGTTGAATTTGGTTGTTAATAATTGGGAAAAGTCACCGGCTTTACAGAGAAGTGTAACCATTCTTAAAGAATTCCCAATTTCTCAGTAAGGCATCATTCTTTCCCTTCCAAGCTGATAACCTTCACCTTTCCCCTTTAGCTCTTCATTTATACTTCCAGCCAATGTCCATGTTTAACCATTATGGACATGAATATGGATTGCTGTAAATCAACCGCCTGTTAGCAGACTTATTTCTGGGTTTTGGTTTGGAAGTGGGGGCAGTGGGGATCGGTAAGATGGGGAAGATGATGATTTTTAATTTTTATTTCTTTTCTCTTTTATTTTATTTTTAGTTTTTAAATTGTTTTTGTATATAATAGCGAATTTATCATTTTACTTATTTCAATTTGATCAAAATCAGTCAAAGTCCACTTTCATTGGTCAATTAATGGTCAACTGGACGGTTTCCATCCATTTGGATATTAGATGTATATTTTTGAAAAGTTTGGAACTGTGGATGATACAAATTTAAGATTAGAATGAAGTTTGTAAAAAAGTGAAATATTAGGGACCGTTGCTGCAATTTCTCTAATTTTAATACACCCGTAATCCATAAGTGTCTTTATTCATCTCAAATTTCCCGCCGAGTGCACCGTGTGCTGACACATGAGCAGAGGCAGCCGAGAGATAGAGCGGAGGCTCCTCCGCCTCCTCCACGGCCGCGACACCCGCACCCACCTTACCGAGATCCACGGCCATCTTCTTCGCCACCAGCTCCACCACTCCAACCAGCTTCTCTCCCACTTCATCTCCATATGTAGCTCCCTCAGCAAAATGCCTTACGCCCAACGTATATTCTTGCAGGCTGCCAACCCTAACATCTTCCTCTTTAACTCCATGATAAAGGGCTATTCCCTTTGTGGGCCCTTCGAAAACTCGTTTTGTATGTTTTCCGTCATGAAAAAGCGCGGGATTTGGCCGGATGAATTCACCTTTGCACCTTTACTCAAGGCGTGCGCCAATTTCGGAGATTTAAAATTGGGTCGTGGGGTACATAAAGAAGTTCTGGTTCTTGGATTTGCGAGATTTGGATCGATTAGGATTGGGATTGTGGAGTTGTACGTGAACTGTGAGAGAATGGTGGAGGCCAAAAGGGTGTTCGACAAAATGTCTCACAGGGATGTGATTGTTTGGAATTTGATGATTCGTGGGTATTGCAAAAGTGGGAATGTGGAAATGGGGTTGCGCTTGTTTAGACAAATGAGTGAGAGGAGTGTTGTTTCTTGGAATACAATGATTTCATGTCTGGCACAGAGTGGGAGGGATATTGAAGCTTTGGAGATTTTTCGTGAAATGTTGTGTGAGGGGCTTGAGCCTGACGAGGCCACAGTTGTGACAATGTTGCCAGTGTGTGCTCATTTGGGTGAAATTAACATTGGGAGATGGGTTCATTCTTATGTTGAGTCGAGTGGCCTCTATAATGATTTTGTTTCGGTGGGCAATGCACTAATGGATTTTTACTGCAAGACTGCGGAATTGGAGAAAGCTTTTGAGGTTTTCAAGGATATGCCTAGGAAAAATGTGGTTTCTTGGAATGCAATGATCTCGGGATTGGCTTTCAATGGAAAAGGTGAACTTGGGGTAGAAATGTTTGAGGAGATGACGAATCATGAAGGTACAAGTCCTAATGATGCAACTTTGGTGGCAGTTTTAGCATGCTGTGTCCATGCAGGTTTGGTGCAAAGAGGCCGAGATTTCTTTGCTTCCATGGCAAAACATTATCATATAAAACCCAAACTGGAGCACTATGGATGCATGGTCGATCTTCTTAGCCGTAGTGGTTGTGTGAAGGAGGCTTATGATTTGATACGGATCATGCCTATGAAGCCAAATGCTGCCATATGGGGTGCATTGCTCAGTGCTTGTCGCACTTACGGTGACATGGAGCTTGTGGAGCATGCAGTTAAGGAGCTAATCAATCTTGAACCTCAGAATTCAGGCCATTATGTGTTGTTATCCAATATTTATGCTGAGAGGGGTAATTGGAGTGGTGTTGAGGAGGTAAGAATATTGATGAAAGAAAGCCGTGTTAATAAAACAATGGGGCAGAGCATAGTTGGATAACTATATTGGGGGGGTTGAAGTCCATGGTTTTGCTGGATACACCCTCCTAAGTCACCAAGTCAGGAACCCTTTCATCTGTAGTGGCCTCCAAACAGAATTTACTAATGAGAAGTGTGATGCATTTGAAAACAATGTCCCAATTTTCTTAAAATTTGATCTTTATGGCGGGATAAATGGGACAAGCGAGAATATTGCACTAAAAAAGTAGCATGCAATAATATGTCTTGGATTCTTTGACCTGTCTTTGATGCTTCCTCAGCAAAGTCTCTCAGAAAACATGAAAGGATATCAGATGCAGGAAAGGACAGTTTCATGCATATGGTTGGTGATCAATATAAGCATTAGTGCAGTGAAGAAAATGTAATATATCTTGGCCTCTTGACTCGTGATCGGAGATAAAACAATCAAATTCGTCAATCTTAAATTTCTCTTATTCTGTTTCACAGAATGCTAGCATCCCTTGTGTCAAGGACCGCAGCCTTACTTAGCCCATTGACACAATCGCAGCCGCAGTTTGCGCAACTTCGGCCGTACATTGTAAATATTATTTCAAGTTTGAGTTGTAATTTTCTTTTCGTTGTAATAGTTATTTCAATTGTAAAATAGCTCTTATATTGGTAAACGTTTAGTATGATTCCTCGTCTTTTAAACGTCTACTCCCGTCACTTGGGTTTTTGTTCAGAATGCTATTATAAGGGGTATTTGTCATTCAAAAATCTTTCAAGCTCACTGGTGTCTGTCCCTTGCACTAGCATTTGTAATTTTCTGCTTTCATCAATTGTAATGTTCGGTTTTCATCAATCAATGTTCAATTTACTTTCAATGTATTCAAATTTTCTATTGTAAGCTTTCTACAAAATTGCAATCAAATTTTTTTTCGTCCCGACGTGACCGAGAAAAGGTGGAAGGTAGTCTAGCGGAGCAGACTACTGCCGCACGGTGTCCCTTTCTATGCCAAGAAAAAAGGCACCCCGTAAAAGTTGGTATCAGAGTTGCGACTCACGACCCTCGATAAAAAAGTTATGGATCCAATTACATCCAACACCACTGAAGTGGTAGAGCCTCAAAAGAAGGGTACTACGAAACAGCGTGTGGATGCGCTTGATGAGACAACTACTAGGTTGTGCTATGCTATGGAAGGTCTCGAGGAAAAAGTCGAGATGGCCGAATCTGAGATTCGTGGATTACACATCCAATTGGATGAAAGCCAAAGAGCTTCTGCAGCAATGGCTGAAGCTGCTGCAATCATTCTTGATCTGCAGGATGAAATGAAAGCGTTGAGAGCTCAATTGCGGGTACTCCAACGTGCGGTGGCCAATGGACAAGCTCCCATACCCGAGTATGCTCCTAGGCTCAGAATTCCTGAACCATGTACCTATGGAGGGCACGTGATGCAAAAGAAGTCGAAAACTGCTTGTTTGATATGGAACAGTACTTTCTAGCAGCTTCGATCGAAGACGAAGCTAGAAAGGTAACCACAGCTACCATGTATCTGGGTGGAGATGCAAAACTATGGTGGCGAACCAAATCTGTTGACATTCAGGCCCACAGGATTGGAATTGATTTTTGGGATCTCCTCAAGGAAGCGATCAGATCGCAGTTTTTCCCGAAAAATGTTGAGTATCAGGCTCGACGGGCACTTCGATACCTGAAACACGCGAGCTTTATCAGGGAGTATGTGAAATCCTTCTCAACGCATATGCTGAATATTCGAGATATTTCGGAAAATGATAAGCTCTTTACCTTTATGGAAGGGTTGAAACCGTGGACACGCATGGAACTTCAAAGACAGAAGGTTACTGATTTGAGCACGGCGATGGGAGTCGCTGAATGCTTGAGTGACTATCAAACAGAATCTAGAAAAGATCGACCTTCGGGGAATAATCAAGCAATTGGAGGTGGTAACAGATCTTACAAACCCAGCTCGAACCCAAATGGGGGAGAGCGTTACTCTCAGAATAGGGAAGGAGCCTATCAAAGCACTTGTGGCTTTCAGGGAAACTATCATAATAGCCGTCAAGGAAATTTTAACGGTAGCAACAGTAACAACTGGAACAAAGGAAAAGCAACAGAGGGCCGAACTGATGCCACTCCCAAATTGAAGTGCTTTTTATGTGACGAACCCATCGGGTGTCGGATTGTCCTCAAAAGCGGATGGTGAATGCATATTGTCAGTTAGCAAGTGGCGGGCCAAGTTCAAAGCAAGAGGCACCACAGGCTAATTGTCATAATGAAACTGACTCTGAAGAGGATGAGGAAGTAGTTGGGGCATTTTCACATCGGTGCAACACACTGTTGCATCGGGTTGCTGAAAAGGATGATGTCCCATTGAAAGATGCAAAGATGGAAGAAGCGAAGGCTCGAATTTGTAGGGCCAAAAGCTTAATGTACGTAATGTCAAAATCAATGGGAAGCCAATCAGGGCTATGGTGGATACAGGTGCTACCCACAACTACCTTGCATGTACCGAAGTAGAGCGGTTCGGGCTTGTTCTAGAAAAGGGTAGTGAAAAAGTCAAAGCAATCAACTCCGCTGCTCAACCAATAGCTGGAGTGGCGAAATCGGTGTTGATCAAAGCAGGTCCTTTTGAGGGAAGGACAAATTTATCTGCAATTCAGATGGATGATTTCAAGCTTATTCTAGGATTGAAATTTTTTCGAGATACTAAGACAGTAGTGTTGCCATATTCCGATTCGTTAATGATGATGGGTAATAAGCTGTGTGTCATCCCTACACAGGTTGGGAGGATGGGCGAGAAAAGTATCTCAGCTATGCAATTTAGTAAGCGTTTCAAGAGAAATGAACCCTCTTTTTTGTGCACTCTTCAATTAGAGGAGATTGAAGAAGCAAATGGTCCTATCCCAAAACCCGTTAAAAGACTTCTTCAGGAATTTGAGGATATCATGCCGAAAGAATTACCAAAGAAATTACCACCAAGAAGAACGATTGATCATGAGATTGAACTCATTCCAGGCGCCAAACCTCCTGCCAGGGCACCATACCGTATGTCTCAGCCCGAGCTTGAAGAGCTTAGGAAGCAATTGGGGGAAATGCTGGAGAGTGGAATCATTGTGCCGGCGAAGTCGCCATACGGAGCTCCTGTATTGTTTCAGAAAAAGGCCAATGGTTCTCTTAGAATGTGCTGCGACTATCGAGCCTTGACTGTAAAGAATAGCTATCCTAGCCCACTGGTTGCGGATTGCTTCGATCGACTGAGTTGGGCGAAGTATTACACAAAAATTGATCTTAGGTCCGGGTATTGGCAAGTTCGGATCAAGGAGGAAGACGAAGCAAAAACTACGGTGGTAACTAGATATGGAGCCTTTGAATTTAAAGTGATGCCTTTTGGTTTGACAAACGCTCCAGCAACATTTTGTACTAATCAGGTGCTTCACGGGTTCTTAGATGATTTTATGGTGGTGTACTTGGATGACATAGTAATCTACAGCGAGACATTAGAGGAACATGTCCAGCATGTGAGGCAAGTTTTTAATCGGCTACGAGAGAATGAACTTTATGCTAAACCGTCTAAATGCTCATTTGCTCAGACATCTATTAGTTTCTTGGGTCACATCATTGAACAAGGTAAAATCCGCATGGATTTGAAGAAGGTTACAGCCATCAAAGATTGGCAACCACCAAAAACCGTACATGATGTACGTTCATTTCTTGGGTTATGCAATTACTATCGAAGATTTGTGAAAAGCTACTCAGAAATTGCACTGCCACTTACTGAATTGACAAAGAAGGATAAGGATTGAGATTGGTTATCCCAATGCCAAGCTACTTTTGAAAGGTTGAAGAAGTCCATGTGGACGAACCCGGTTTTAGCCTTACCGGATATGGCTAAACCATTCGAAATTCATACGGATGCTTTAGATTTTGCCCTTGGTGGAGTCCTCATGCAAGAAGGACATCCGGTAGCATATGAGAGCCGGAAGTTAAACCAGACAGAACGTCGTTACTCGGCACATGAAAAGGAATTGTTAGCAGTTGTCCATTGTCTCAAAGGATGGCGTCACTATCTGCTTGGGTCTCCATTTATTGTGAAGACAGATAACACTGCAGTTAGTCACTTCATGTCCCAACCAAAACTATTAAACAAACAGGCTCGTTGGCAGGAATTCCTTTCAGAGTTCAATTTTATGTTAGAGTATCGTCCTGGCTCTAGTAATCATGTTGCCGATGCTCTTAGTCGACGGGTCGATTTAGCTGCCATTTGCTCTGTAGCTGCTCTTTCAGGGAGCGCAGTCTCCATGAACACTAGAGACCAAATTTGGGCACTTATGGAGAAGGACCCGGCTACCCAATATTTGGTCGACCTTATCAAGCAGGGTAAAACTCGACAGTTTTGGCTCGATGGGGAACTAATGAAGACAAAGGGAGACCGCCTATATGTTCCTAAGGCCGGAGATCTGAGGAAATCACTAATTATGGAATGCCACGACACAATTTGGACAGGGCATCCCGGAGAGGAACGCACTTGTGCACTACTACAACGTGCATACTACTGGCCTCAAATACGGGACGACATTGCAACATATGTAAAAACTTGTCTTATTTGTCAGCAAGATAAGGCAGATCATCAGAAAAAGGCGGGCTTGCTGGAGCCCCTTTCCGTCCCAACCCGGCCATTCAAAAGTGTATCGATGGACTACATTATTGGGCTGCCAAAAGTTGAGGATTTTGGCACTATCATTGTCATGGTGGACCGTTTATCAAAATATGCAACTTTCATTGTAGCGCCTAAGTATGTATCTGTGGAAGAGACAGCTCAACTTTTCTTCAAGCATATTGTCAAATACTGGGGGCTGCCTAAGGACATCGTCAGTGATCGAGATCCTCGTTTCACTGGCATATTTTGGACTGAGTTGTTCAAACTTCTTGGTTCAACTTTGAGTATGAGTTCTAGTTTTCACCCACAATCTGACGGACAAATGGAACGCTTCAATTCTATGCTAGAAGAATATTTTCGGCACTTTATCTCTACTTCGCAGAAAAACTGGGTAAAACTTTTGGATGCGGCCCAAATTTGCTTCAATGCCCAAAAGAGATCTTCTACCAATAAGAGTCCTTTTGAGATTGTTACTGGCCAGCAACCGCTACTTCCTCATACAGTAGATATTGAACGAAGTACCAAGTCCCCTCAAGCAAAGAACTTTTCTCAAGGGTGGAAACGAAATATTGAAATTGCTCGGAGTTATCTTGAGAAAGCTCAAAAACGGTATAAAAAGGCTGCAGACCTAAAGCTCCGTTTCATTGAATTTAATGTTGGAGATCTGGTAATGGTTAAGCTTCCCGACAGAAATGTTTACAAACCAACAAGAGGGAAAGACTCAAGATTGTCGCCAAAATACATCGGACCATTACTCATCGTGAAGAGGATTGGAAGAGTTGCATACAGAGTTGAACTCCCTTCATGGTGTAAAATTCACAAGGTCCTTCATGTTAGTATGTTGAAGCCATACTTTGCGGATAAAGAGGACGCATCTAGAAATGAGCCAAAGCGACCTGTATTTGAACTGAAGAAAGCTGGAAAGAAGGTTTCTGAAG